GGGTGGAGAACAGAAGAATGACTCTCAGATGCAAAAGAGACAGACAGACACAAAGGTAGAGAAAAAGGTAAGGTGAGTACTGTAGAAGTGGTGAATATGACATGCAGTGAGGTGATGATAGTTTGAAGTGAGAAGTCAACCGCCGGTTAATAGACTTTTTTGCCATATGAGTATACGTTGCTAGGGTGCACCACGTGGAGGTAGGTCTGTCGCAAACCCCATCCATAAAATAGATCGACCTGCGTATTGCGAAACGTGGTGCCTCTTTTTAAACTTGTCAGTTCGACAGATTTGGTGCTTCTATTAATAAATAATTGAATAGAATAGGATCGGTTACGACAACCTATAGAGGAAAAAGGGTCATATTAATATTACGAAATGGCTTCATGCCAAGGTATTATTCTGCACACGTGATCAATTTTATCAGTCAAATGCCATTTAGTGAGAAGATCAATGTCCTCTTTATAGTATGTAGATGATAGACTTTTGAGGTTTCAATCAATTAGTTTACAAAAACTAAATGAAAGTTTTATAAGTGACACGCATCGCTGCCTTTAAGATAAACAAGAGCTATCTTGCCCGCTAATCAGAATGGTCTTAGTCTTTGAACCGCCCAATTATGTTTAAGACTTTTAATGATTACCTCCTATCTCCTACAGAGAAGAGTTGACCAGCATTCCCCACCCCCCCCCATCACCCCCGATTCCACCAGTTCTACAAACTTGTCCTCCATCCCCATCCTTCTCATTTACGGTCCCAATTGTTCAGTATATATGTGGCTCAAAAAATCTGTTACTTTCACTTGGAGAAGGTACTATTTTCTGTTAGCTTTTAAGAAATTCATTAGGTCTAGGAGAAGACACTCACTGCAATTTAATTAGACTACAAAAGAAGCCTTACTTAGAATCAGAGCTACTTAACACTAAACTCGCTCACTATAAAACGCCCTAATTATATTGTTTTAATTATATTAATAAAGTGACCGATTAGCATTACATATATTTTTAAATGCATGTATTGAAGTGTTATGCGATGTAAAACCCATATTTTTCCCTTATAAGCCACATTAAACAGAGATATTTTAGAGAAGTTGTTGAGATTTTTCTTCGAGTCACGTAAGCATCAAACATTTAAATCCCATTTCATCAACACCATCTTACAATCATATTGTACAACAAGCAAACGAAACTAGCCTTTCTTCTGACATTTGAAAACCGCAATTCGATTAAGTTATAGACGAAAGATGTAGTTGGCAAATGGGGTGTGCGATGGACTTACCTCCACGTGGTACACTCTGGGCAACATATGTTCATACGCAAAAAAGTCTATTAACCGGCAGTTGACTTCTCACTTCAAACTACCATGGCCCGACTGCTTGTCATATTCGACCCCTTTCACAGTACGCATCTTACCTTATTCTCTACCTTTGTGTCTGTCTGCCTCTTTTACATCTGTAAATCGCTCTTCTGATCCCCACCCCTCGATTTTCTGCTACTTTGATGAACCTTCCTTCTGTGAAGCCCGAAGTCAGCTAAATGGCTAACGATAGCAATCATAACGCCTGCCATTTGAAATAAATAAATACTTTCGTGGTCTTTGAATCACTCAACATCGATCCTCCTGTAAAACTTATGAACTTGAAAATCCCAATTATTTAAGTACCACCTCATCATTGTAGCAACATTAGTGTGTTATTTCACCTTACGAATAGTAAAAAAAACGTGGAGTTGAAGATTAAGAAATGTCTAGAGCATACCATAAACAGAAACATCCTTAAGATCACCATATTCCTTCCAGATGACCCAACAATTTCCGCACACTTTGAGAAGATTTGGCGGAGAGCCAATGCCGTAAGAATGTGCAGTGCACACACTTCCACAACCTGCGCATTTAGCGAAATTTTCCTGATAGAGAACAGAGGGATCAACTTTCCGATCCACTTTAACGTAAATGTGCTTCAGGCGTTTTTCTGCCTCCACACTCTTGGCTCGACGCTGTTGGATGTAGTGGTCGGTGGTTTTCCACATGTAGTAGAACTCGATAATGCACTAGAAACAAACAAAAAAACAAGACAGCGTTGATTTCCTGTGTTGCGAAACAGAGGCACTAAATACACACCTCAAACGCTAATACAAATGAGATGCAGACAAAACTGAAGACGACTACGAACTTATGGCGAAGAGAGCAGACGCGACTCGGAATCGAGTGCTGAAACAAAATCGAAAAGGCTGGAAATCAACTCGCACACGACTTTAAAACCTCGAAATCTGCCGAAGTAAGGGAGGAAAATCAGGTTTTTTAATGGAGAAATCAATAGAAGAGAGAGAGAGAGAATGTTTTCAATCTCTAAACAAATTGCTTATTTTCTAACGAACAACCTCGTTGCTAGAGCGAACAGCTCTTTTCAAGTCCACAATAAAAGACTTGAATAGAGAGAAAGTATTTGAAATTCAATCCAATGAAAAGCAAGAATTTCTTCCTTTCTCCATTTATTCCACCTCAAACAACGGCGGTTTGCGTGAGTATAATAAGCACTCGTTGAATGGAAAGTCCGAAAATGCTCTAGACATGATTACCCGTGGACTAAGCTACTTGAAATATTCAACACTGATGCAGAGAGCAAAGAGCAGTTTTAATAAACTTGACCACATACCTACAACCTAATTTTTTACACTCCAAAATTGGCATTTGAAGAGTCCTCAAAGTTACCTTTAGTGTCTTCCATGGCAACAGATCAGTCTGAATATCCTGAAATGACTTTCCAAACTTGTGTAGTCCTTGCTGAAACAGATTTCCTTCCGTAATAGACCACATCTCCATTTGATCCAACTTTAGCAATGGTGGTTGGCTGGGTGGTGCGAGGACTTGCAGGGCCCGACGGATGGAATGTCCGGCTTGTTGAAGAGTATCCAGGGCCAATTGGAGGGTGGTATCTCGGCTTGCGCAGGCTACGCACGAAACTAAGGTGGGGTGACGCAGGGTGGAAGGGGGATAATTGGCCCTAGCCAAGGTGGCCAGGGATTTGCACATTGTCATATAGGAATCGAGGTCGGAGGGGGAGAGGTTGTTTGGGGGTGACCAGACTAGGGTTTCTATTTCGTTGTGCAAGGTATGGTTGGTATTGTTGTTCTGGGTGCAGCCTGGATTATAAAAACATTACGCAAACAACATTGGTAAGCCTCTAAAAAAATTTAATTGATTGACATGGCCCACTCTCGATTGAAATTCTTTACTTAGAAGACTGCCAATTAAGATCAACTATACCATTCTAAATATCTGAGATGGAAAAGAGTATTAAGGGCCACTGAACATATAATTACAAATATATCAAGTTAGCGAACGCCGCCACATGATTTATATTCACGTCGAAGCGTCATTTATTGTAGTTTCAACGGTCACTCAGGTTGATAAGCCCTTTAACTGGAAAATAAATAAAAATTTTGCGACACACGGCTAGCCGGGATATCACTAGACCAAACAACTAATTGAGCCTTCTGAGATGACTATAAAACTCACATACAATGAATGGCTCCTCAATCTGTTGAAGCTTACAGTAGATATTTTCAAATTCTACTAGGAAAAACAAGGTTAATGCGAAAACCATCCTGATGAGAAACTTGCCTTCTGCTAGTCAGTAGGATTGATGCTTTCAATACCGACCCGGTGAACTCGGATTTGGCAGATGTGGACTTCCACATCTAAGTCACTGGCATACAGTATTTGTCCATTACAAATATAAGAAACTCTGTTTAATCAAGCTGGTATTTCAATTGAAATTATACTTAAGGGTATAATTGACTTGACTTCCACCAACAGGCAATGACATCCTTTAAACTACAATTAATGCGTAGATGAAAACAGCAAAGAAATCAAAATATTAGGTAACACAAAAGTTCCATTTCTTTTGTTGCGAAATTCAAAAGGAAAGAAAGAGATTTTTAATTAAGCCTAGAACAAATCAAACCATCACGAATTGCAAAATTTAACTGAAGAATTTGATAATCATGCATTTCAAACAAAGCTTTAAATAAAATCCTAAAGACAACATACGCATTGAAATTTGACCTCAAGTCCACTAATGCGTGAAAATTTTGAAAAGGAAATGATTTCGAAAGGAAATAATACCTCATGTGATGGGGTGTGCGATAGACTTACCTCCACGTGGTTCACCCTGGGCAACGTATTCTCATACTGCAAAAACGTCTACTAACTGGCAGTTGACTTCAAAATACCGTGACCCGACTGTATGTCGTACTCGACCACTTCCACAGTACTCACCTCGCCTTATCTCTGCCCCTTTTACATCTGTGAATCACTCTTCTTTTCACCGCCCCTCGACCTTCTGTTACGTTGATGTTCCTCTCCTCTTCGAAGACCGAGGTCAGTTAATAGGCTAATGATAACTATCAAAACGCGTGCCATTTGAAATAAATACCCCATATAATAGTAAGAGTATTACTCAACGCTATTAGAATGTCTGACGGAAACAAGTTCTGGTGAATTAACCCTCGAGGTCTGAATAAAAAACGGTTCGAAGACGAAACATACTTGCGTTCTATTAGCGCTTTTGGACACTAATTAATAAAAAAGATGATAAATTATAATTATTTATCTACCCAACTGCACAGCTGAGTACTCAGGTGCCGAAGCCGTAACACGAGTTGGATGTCGTGCAATCGCTATAAAACCATTGGCTTGATTCAGTCGAGAAAGGTATCACCGAGAACAAAACTTTTCGAGACATAAGGAACTAGTGGTCATCTAGAGAAGGGATCAGAAAAGCATTTCCTTTCATGCTCGTGTCGAAAAAGTCACGATTTGCAATAAACAATGCTAAAAAATTTCTTTTATATTAACTAATCACAATTAATGAATCACAAAGGTGTTTGGTTGATTGAGCGTAAAGGGCCATTTTGAAATTATAATCAAAAGATTTGACTAATCCAATTACTAAACGGACAAGTTTCAGACCTCTGCAACATAAAGAACAAGCTGCAATAGAGCAGTCTGTGCTATCGATTTGCTCATGACGATGATTAAGTTACTTAAGCATGATTGGCCATCAACCTATTGTCAAGTATGTCTCGTTTATCTACTTGAAAAAGTAGTATTAATGAGAAATAACAGAAAGAGATCTGGGGTGTGCGATAGACTTACCTCCACGTAGTGCACCCTGGGCAGCGTATACTCATACGGCAAAAATGTCTATAAACCGTCAGTTGACTTCTGACTTCAAACTACCATCACCCCACTGTATGCCATATTCGACCCCTTCAACAGTACTCACCTCACCTTTTTTCTACCTTCGCCTTGGAAAAACTCTTCTGTCTTCCCCCCCCCCTCCCTCTTAAATTTTTTCACTTTGATGTTCCTTCTCCTCTCTTTGAAGCTCAAAGTCAACTAAAAAGCTAACGATAACCATCAAAACGCCTGTCATTTGATATAAATAAATAACTAGAAAGAGATCTTTAGACGAAATATCTACTATTGGATCTTCTGAGGTTTTGTATTTAGTTCCCAATGAAATAAAGGACCTTAATACGCAATCTAAACATGATGTCATGAGGTCGACCCTAATAGGTGCACAGGCAGTGATGTGATTCGGTAGCAGGAGAAATGATAGAAATCGAGATGCTTCTTAACAGAGCACCGCCAGCACACACAACCCCTCCCCCTGCAATATCAACTATTAACGACACAAAATTTAAGTGAATTACCAACACATAGTATACAAGGGCTTAGATATTCGAGAATTAAGAAGAACTACAACATTTCTCATTCCTAAGCGAATACAGAGAACAGTGTAAATAAACACTGATACAAAGATCGTGTTTCACCAAGTCCCTAAATGACGAATAGTTAGCGGATATCTTCGCTATTATTAGCGTATAAACCGAAATCGACTTAAGTCGTTATGGCCTATGTTAGATGACCAGATACATTTATATAATGCTTATATTTTGGTTTGTTCAGCCATAAATTCCATCCATATTAAATTATTACCTTTGCTTATGTGCAGGCACAACTACCCAGCACTTAAGTTGTGCCCATTTAAGAGCTCGTTGGCAAACATTTGTTCGGGGACGAGGAACAATATCGTGGAGCTTTCTAGGTGGGAAATTCAAGCCATCTTATTGGCCAGAGTAGCGAGCTTAACCAAATTATCCCAATTTGGCTAAAATTAAGATACGGGGATGAGTAAAATGGTGAGCATTTTTGCGAATTATCCAAAGATGGATGAGAATAGACAAAACTAAACGATTCAGCGCACTTCCATATCGAAGTAGTTAATCGAACATTTAATTATTGATGAAAATCACACACGAGAATAAATGCAGACACAACAGAACCCGGCATCGAACTCTGTTTAGAGTAATGGAACGAGAAATAAGCACAAGTAACAGCTTTTTTGATCAAGACTCCATGAATGGAAATTTCAGCAATTCTAAGTTAGAAATTGAGGATGTAAAAGTGGAATTAAAACTTTCACTTAATCAATATCCATTGATAAAAAATGTGAAGGTATTCTCAAACTTAGGCAAATGCATTTTAATAGAAAGGTTCTTTTAGATTGCACGTGCATCAAATTAAAAATTCAGATGTATTAAGTTTATCTGCAAGGTAGATGCCACGATTTCAACGCCCACAGACACATTTAACGCAAGAGGAATTGCCAGTGGCGCCTAGTAAATATGATAGAATTCGCGATTCCTACTTAAACACCACCGCGTAGCCATGGAATGGAACAGAAGAAACTCTTCATGATATATCATTGTTATTAAACAAAGTGGAACTGATTTGCGAAAACATACTTAAAAAACAATATCCAGGATGAAAATGCAAGTAAATAAGTCTAAAGCCAAGATATTAAATATCCCATCTAAAAACCAAATATCTATCCCACAAAATGCGTCGTTGATCGGTGTGAATTTCTTATACGAAAAATAAAATAACAACTTAACAGATTCATCCACTGATCACAATGGGTCCAATCTAATGTAAGCAAAGCAGGTAAAATTTTGTTGAGATGTTAAATTAAAACTTGAAAATAATCATAAGTAATGATCACACCAAAGCCATTTAAAAAGACCTTCCAAAAAGAAAGTAAGAAATCCTTAGAAAGAATGCGAAAACTGCTAAGTAAAAGCAAAAGGGGCGCTAGATAAATAAAGATCTATGTAAACGTAAAATAGAATTGGTATTCACCGATAAAATTCGGAATAGTTGCCTGGAATTCACTGCCGACACGGATGTATCCCTTGTCAGACTTGATAACTCTCTTAACCGGATCATAGGAAAGATGATAGAAGAACGTGGCATCTTCTTTGATAAGGTCTACCAAATTTTCATCCAATACATCTTCCATCATGATGACGTTGCATTTTCCACGAATACGATTTGCGTGAACGATGTCGAAGGTCTGTGAGACAAAGAGTTCCCGCAAACTGAGATCATAGATCTCCTTTTCACTGAGTGCCTCGACTGAAAATACGTCTGCAAAAAGAGATAAATCAGTCAATAGACAACCAACGTAAATGCTGTTCTGCAACATCTGGGGGTAATTCACGTCGACGGTAGAAACATTTAACTTTCATTTCGACATCATTACTATTGTATCTATCCAACTCCACAATTTTTCGGATCTGATAGGGGATTGCGGGTGATTCTTCCACGTATACGTAATCTAAATAAGGTTAAAACATAAATTTAAAACAGTACAGCCTAAAGTAAATCAATCAGTCAATTTAATAATTTGCAAAACATTCAATAGCAGATGCTCGGTAATAATATATTTGAATTAGAATAACTTGTCTTACTTTTCACTAAGTCTGGCGAGTTTATTAATGTTTTAATAAAATGAGGAAACATACCTCCGATCTGATATGTTTGATGGTTTGACATTTTTCAAATCGGACTGTAATTATACGGGCATAAATGCGGTGAACATGTGCACACGAACTTAATAGTACCTCCCCAGTGCTTAAATTGATAAATTTTTAAAACAGAAATTGGGATGTATTTGTTATTTTCTCTAAATTTGCAAAATACTTATCAGGATATTCAAGGCATTTTGAAAATTCAATTTATATATATACAGCCATCTTTATTGCAGAAATAAAATCGTATTTTTAAATATTCAGAAAATAATTCAACTATGTGGTAGAAATATTGATAGTCCAAGTATTTGAACGATTTGTCTATTTAGATTCGATTTAGCACTTTATTTTTTGTAAAATTTAATGTCCTTAAGAAAGTTTTATTGAGGTGAAAGGTCTTTTTTATTGGTGCACTATATTTACATAGACATTAGTAAATATTTTGAACATAGTAAAACACTCCATTACGCAATTAATCATAAAGAATTCCTTCTTGTTTATAGACACTCATGCCACTTTCACCTTTCTTTATAACATAAAATGTTCTATGCCCTAGTCCCTTGCTCTTTTATTTCGTAATAACCTTCATACTTTTCTTTCAGATGTCGAACATGAAATGACCGAGTACGGTGATGCATATAATTGGGAGAAAACATGGTTGAATGCTCCTCCAAGAGAACGTGCTTATGGGAAGCAAACTCTAGAACCTCACTTTCAGCATAAACGACACTTTGAGCTTGAGCAAAACGACACCAATATCTTAAAGTGTGATGAAAATCAAGCAAAGGAAATATCTCAGGACCCTTTCTTTATTATACATGGTCGCAAACATTCTGAAATGGCATATCCAAACATCCTCTATCGTCGAGCTAAGTCGGCACCTCGTGAAAGCCGCAATCCATCCCCCAAATCTGATAAGAAAACTCCTCAAAGACCTAAATCTGATGGCGCTTCAGAGACTCCGAAACACGTCAAGATGCAATCCAAAAAACATCATTCCAAATCGCGGTCTCGTTCAAAAGAGCAAAAGAAACCAGTCGAACGTTGGCCAGAGCTAAAAATGAACATTCCATCCGATTCTCCCAAATCAAAACCACTAAAACAAACAGATTATCAGTTGTCTCGCAGTCCACCTCTTGCAGATCTTAATAAAAGTGATCGGCCCCAATCGTCAAAGACTAAAGTTGAAGAACCAACGACCAAACCGAAGCCTTCAAAGCCGAATGGCGGAATAAAAAAATTCAAATCTGATGAACGTTTGAGTAGAATGTCTGAATTAGAAGCGAAATCTAAAATCACGTCTCAGAATTTGGAACCTGAACCTCGTAAACGAAGATTTCAATCTGAATATCAGGCTAATTATCGGGACTTCTCTGATTTTACAGACATCGCCATAATTCATAATGATGAGGCTAGGCAAAATCAGCTTCAAGTTGAAGGTTGCCACTTTTCTCGCCAACATTTTAACCAACTCAATTCGGATAATGTTAATTTATGGGATCCACCTAGCTCAATTCAGCCAGAAATTGTGGGAATCACCGCAGAGGAGATGTCAAGACGTTTAAAGGGGTATAAGACACCCAAATCAAGACTACCAAACGCTAAAACTTTACCAGATACTAGTTTCCGAATTCCTAGTCAGTCGCATTATCGTTTTTCTAGGTATCCAGCCTCTTCGTCAACTACTCCATATGAACCACAAAAGTATCTTGATAAAGCATTCAAGAATGATGAACCAAGAATAAAAGTATTGCCCTACGAGGATAGGAAGGATTATGTATGTTCAAAGACACAACATTACTGTGACCGTGGAGGAAACTTCTTAATATCTAAAGTTCGACCAGAGGAGGTAGATACTCTGCCTCATATATCACCAGTACATTTTAATGACGTCTCATCGTATTCTCCAGCCTCTCTTAGTTCAAGTCTCAGTTTGGCTGAACAGACGTTTGACCGTGCCCTAAGAAGAAGAAATAAGCTTCTTATTTCAGCCCCTCGAAACTAGGAACAGCATTTATATTTATATTTATCTATTTGCACAGAATGACGCATTTTTTGCATTTTATTTAACCAGAATTGTCTTATATGTATTCACCAGTAGTAGAAGCAACTATTTTAATTCACTTAAATTCTTTCATGGATATTCTTTTTTTTACAATTAAGGGTAGTAAATTTGCGCGTTTACTAAATCAGCAGTCGATTGTACCTCTTGGGGGGAGGGGGGGGGGTTCTAATTTAACCCATTAACGTCCGACTTATTTTTTTGAAAAATGCACCCAGCCGTACTCACGCTTGTCTCACAGCAAACTAATGCCGCCGACGTTCCGAGTTTTGGTGGAGCATCAGGCTAAGGCTACAAAGACACGTATTGAACATGTTTCAAATGGCATTTGCGCCTTCTGTCTAGCACCAATGAGGGTTATTTTGAAGGAGGAAAGTGAAGTGCTAAGGGTGTTGTGGGGTTAAGAATCATTTGAGTACTTATTATCTCTGACGCCTATTCGTATTGAATGGTTCAATATCGAGCTTTGGACTGAGGTATTTATATTAATTGGTAGACTTTATGATAGTTAGCATTAGCCCTTTAGTTGACTTCGGACTTCACTGAGGGAGGATCATCAAAGCCACAACATGTGGAGAGGGGGATAGAAGAGTGATTCACAGATGTGAAAGAGACAGACATAAAGGTAGAGACAAGGTACGATGAGTACTGTGGAAGGGGGCCAAATATGAAATATAGTGGGGTCATGGTAGTTTGAAGTCAGAAGTCAACTGCCGGACGTAGAGTGGGGTGATGGTAGTTTGAAGTCAGAAGTCAACTGCCGTTTAATAGACTTTTTTGCCGTATGAGTATACGTTGCCCAGCGGTTTATAGACTTTTTGCCGTATGAGGTCTGTTGCCCAAATATGACATACAGTGGGGTCATGGTAGTTTGAAGTCAGAGGTCAACTGCCGGTTTATAGACTTTTTGCCGTGTTAGGGTTAGATCAACTGCCGGTTTATAGACTTTTTTGCCGTATGCGCATACACAATGACATACAGTGGGGTGATGGTAGTTTGAAGTGAGAAGTTGTGACATATAGTGGGGTGAGGGTAGTTTGAAGTCAGAAGTCCACTGCCGGTTTATAGACTTTTTGCCGTATGAGTATACTTTGTAACATACAGTGGGGTCATGGTAGTTTGAAGTCAGAAGTCAAGGCATACAGTGGGGTCATGGTAGTTTGAAGTCAGTGGTCAACTATACAGTGGGGTGATGGTAGTTTGAAGTGAGAAGTCAACTACCAGTCAATAGACTTTTTTCCGCATAAGTATACGTTGCCCAGGGTGCACCACATGGAGGTTGTAAGTACACGTTGCCCAGGGTGCACCACGTGGAGGTATGCCGTTTGAGTATACGTTGCCCATTGGTTTATAGACTTGTTTGCCGTATGAGTATACGTTGCCCGTCAATGGGGTGATGGTAGTTTGAAGTGAGAAGTCAACTGCCACAATGGGGTCATGGTAGTTTGAAGTTAGAAGTCAACTGCCTTTAATAGACTTTTTTGCCGTATGAGTATACGTTGCCCAGCGGTTTATAGACTTTTTGCCGTATGAGGTCTGTTGCCCAAATATGACATACAGTGGGGTCATGGTAGTTTGAAGTCAGAGGTCAACTGCCGGTTTATAGACTTTTTGCCGTGTTAGGGTTAGATCAACTGCCGGTTTATAGACTTTTTTGCCGTATGCGCATACACAATGACATACAGTGGGGTGATGGTAGTTTGAAGTGAGAAGTTGTGACATATAGTGGGGTGAGGGTAGTTTGAAGTCAGAAGTCCACTGCCGGTTTATAGACTTTTTGCCGTATGAGTATACTTTGTAACATACAGTGGGGTCATGGTAGTTTGAAGTCAGAAGTCAAGATGTCAACTGCCGATTAATAGACTTTTTTGCCGTATGAGAAGTGATAAGTCAACTGCCGGTTAATAGACTTTTTTGCCGTATGAGTGGGTTGCCCAGGGTGCACCGCGTGGAGGTAAGTCTATCGCAACAACTGCCGGTTAATAGACTTTTTTGCCGTATGAGTATACGGTGCCCAGGGTGCACCACGTGGAGGTAAGTCTAAATATACATTGCCCAGGGTGCACCACGGAGGTAAGCCGAATGAGAATACGTTGCCCAGGGTGCACCACGTGGAGGTAAGGTGTAGTATACATTGCCCAGGGTGCGCCACGTGGAGGTAAGATAGCTTGAACTCAGAAGTCAACTGCCGGTTTATAGACTTTTTTGTCACATGAGTATACGTTGCCCAGGGTGCACCACGTGGAGGTATGTCATTTGAGTATACGTTGTCCAGGGTGCACCACCTGGAGGTAAGTCTATCGTGAGTATACGTTGCCCAGGGTGCACCACGTGGAGGTGTATGAGTATACATTGCCCAGGGTGCACCACGTGGAGGTAGCCGAATGAGAATACGTTGCCCAGGGTGCACCACGTGGAGGTAAGGTGTGAGTGTACGTTGCCCAGGGTGCACCACGGACTCTTTTGCCGTGTATACGTTGCCCAGGGTGCACCAGTTTTTGCCGTATGAATATACGTTGCCCAGGGTGCACCACGTGGGCAGTTTGAAGTTGGGTGATGGCAGTTTGAAGTGAGAAGTCAACTGCCAGTTAATAGACTTTTGGTAGTTTGAAGTCAGAAGTCAACTGCCGAATAATAAAGTGGCAGTTTGAAGTCAGAAGTCAACTGTCGGTAAATGTAATTTTGCATAGTTTGAAGTCAGAAGTCAACTGCCAGTTAATAGATTTAGTAGTTTGAAGTGAGCATACGTTGCCCAGGGTGCACCACGTGGAGGTGCCGTTTGAGTATACGTTGTCCAGGGTGCACCACCTGGAGGTAAGTCTATCGTGAGTATACGTTGCCCAGGGTGCACCACGTGGAGGTGTATGAGTATACATTGCCCAGGGTGCACCACGTGGAGGTAGCCGAATGAGAATACGTTGCCCAGGGTGCACCACGTGGAGGTAAGGTGTAGTATACATTGCCCAGGGTGCGCCACGTGGAGGTAAGACCGTATGATTATACGTTGGCCAGGGTGCACCACGTGGAGGGGTATACGTTGCCCAGGCTGCACCACGTGGAGGTAAGTTTATAAGTCTATTGCACACCCCATGATACCTATCATAACGCCTGCCATTTGAAAGTACGTTGTCCAGGGTGCACCACGTGGAGGTAAGTCTATCGTATTCTTAAGAATAATTGTTTAGAAAACCAGCAAGGGTTGAAAGTTGCCCAGGGTGCACCACGTGGAGGTAAGTCTATCGCACGCTGTCCAGGGTGCACCACGTGGAGGTAAGTCTATCGCACACACCCCTCCGCTTCCAAATAAGATGTTGATAGTGAAGGCATATTTCCAGGGTGCACCACGTGGAGGTAAGTCTATCGCACACCCACTTGGCTCTCCCCTCAAATTTCAACCCTACACGGATGGGCGTGTGGAGGCAAATAAAATTGAGGTTATGCTCCATCCATTACATGCTTCGTGTCCATCTTACTTTGATTGGCTAACATTTTCACTTCGTTGCGGTTTTTTTCAATTTGAACTTTTTTCTCTTTCTTCTGAGCTTACTAAGCAAATTATTTATATAATCGGTTAATTGTCCTCTCCAGACATATTTTTTTCCTCTAATGATCCTTAGGGGGTGATAGGAGATTGAATTGGGAATTTAGTTGGAAAGCAGTTGTTCTCCGCACCAACTATCGTTAAAAATGGTGTCAAGTTCTGTAGCATTTTAGGAAATATACAATTATCAGCCATGTTTTACCTCGTTTGAAGCTCGATAAATAGGCACATTCAAAACCGTAGTTTTTGGACGTTTGCATCCAATCCCGATAAGGTTTTGTCATAGTATAGATGTAGTTGCACTTCAATAAACCTGGCATTTGATAAAGTTCATTTATTTGCAATTCACTAAGTCATGTTTCCTTTAATTTCGAGTGGCTTATGGTGCTGGTGTTAAGCTGATATTAAATCCGATATATGTTCTTTACTTTAATTTAACTTCCTAAAGTTAATACTAAACTTAATTAACTTACCAAATTACAATTGCACTCTGGAGTAAAAGTACCCATAATAATAGCCTATTTATATTTCTAACAAGCTGAACCTTGCCCACAAAACAACGTCTGATCTGGAAAATCAATAGCAATTTTTTCACTTATGACCTTATTATCAGGACAAATCCAGTTGGGTAATGACCCAGAATGTGGACAATCACATCATTTGTGTTTCGTTCAAACATTCACGCTATTCTGAACGCTAAAGGCGCATGATGCCCGTTAAAAAACCCGAATACGGACTAGGTTTTGTTTTGTGCATATAATGTTTTCTCAGATGCATTGGTGTAACAAAAAATGTAGTGTTTTGTTTGCAATGGCTTGTTACACTAGCAAGCCTTGGCTTTACTTCGTAAACGTTGTGGCAGATTCTTCTAGATTGGAATGTCTACCAGGATTAGCTAAGCCACCACAATGTTATAGGGGAAGCAGACATCTGACGTGGAATACGTTTATTCGGGTGATGTTATGCATTGGACTGCGGTGTGTGCGTGGTGCATATGTTATTGTTGACTGAAGAGAGCTTAATCATTATATACACTTTCGGTTATGGTAGCCCAGTACTGACTTCGTCATATATATACTTAAGTTAGTAAAAATGGTTGATTAACATACGTAACATTTCATTTACAGAATATAATACATTTTGAGTTTATGAAGAAAGCGCAAAACGACGCAAAACGAATTGGCATAAATCGTGGCTATTTGCACTTGGATCTCATCTAATCGTTGTGAGTCGCTAATTTGATTGATACAGGGTGCCTAAAAGGGAATACCGTGGGAATACAGTAAGGTAAAATAAAATGTTCTTAAAAGTACCGAATACAGAATATCACCTGTTTCAACGCTAGCGCTCAATATCGTCTTTTGCCTGGTAGAAAACACAGACCACTTTCATCTTGAACACG